CGATTTGCATTTCGCGTTGCGATTCTTGGTTGATTTAATAAGCAATCTAAGTGAAATGGTTAATCTATTATTGAAATTACCAGTAAACTATTCATCAATTTCAATATGAAAAACCTAATAATAATGCAAAAATTTCAAAAAGAAAATAATTAAAAAAACTAACCCTCGTTGGTTGATTTGGTTGATTTTCCATTTCTGATTGTGAGGGTGGCTCTGAGAGATTTAGATAGACGGATTTCGCCGGAGATGGGGACGGATTTCGTCGGAGATGGGTGAGAGAGTGAGAGATGGAGATGGGACTGAGTTGTGATTTTAGGTTTTAGGTTATGAGTTGCGATTACGGGATATACTGTGGACAGTTCAGTGTTCCAATATATTAATATTCATGTTTGGAATTTAAAAATAAAATACTTGGCCATGATACTAATGGCGCTTTGAAAATCGCATTGCGATTATGTAAATCGCGTTGCGAAAGTCAGTATCGCGTTGCGAAAGTAAGTATCTCGTTGCGATTTTGTATTATCGCATTGCGATAGTAAGTATCGCATTGCGATTTTCCCAATTCGCGTTGCGATTTACTTATTCGCATTGCGATTTTCCCAATTCGCGTTGCGATTTACTTATTCGCATTGCGAATTGGGAAAATCGCAACGACACTGTAGACCATCGCAACGCGATTTTCAACTATCGCATTGCGAAAATGCAACGCGAATTTGCGATAATGGAGATCGCGTTGCGAATTAGCGATCGCATTGCGATTTTGTTGGTCATTTTGGCAAATCCGGAAAAAGTTGGTTAAAATCGTATATTATATGGGATTTTTGGTCACTGAGGTTATTTTCTCTTGTATTTATTTGTATTTGTAAATAATTTTTGTTGGCTCTATTTATTGTAAATATTCCATTTCACCTATGTCCATTTGCATTTGTTTTATTGTATGTTTTTTAAAATATTACTCGAATATATTTCAAGAACACCGATTTGTAGAACAAGCGTGGAAAGTATCACTTGATCGAAGTGGTACAATCTAATACGACGTTCGAACTAAATGGAATTTGAAATAAATCAATTTTAGTTTGTTAATTGTTAATCCATTTTTATTTTTATTTGAACAATGCAATACATGTTTATCTAAATAGCACTTTATTTTATTTTTTTAATGAAAAATGTCGATATACTATTTATATTCGATTTGCGGTTTTATATATTCGAATATAGAATATTCTTTTACGAATGAGAAATATTCGAGTTAGCTTTTCCGACGGAGGATTGCTAATTTTGAGATTTCTTTTCGAGTTAAAGAATTTTCTCTATTTATTTAATTCGAAGCAAATTAATCAATGTTCAATAAATGGACCACATTTTAATTTCATATTCGATTTATAAGTTCTGCCATTTACGACAACGTATAAGCGATCCAGTACCAGTTTTTGGGCATTGTGGGGTGCTAATCCTTCCCCATGCTTAACCGACTCCCGAACCTGTTTTAATACGATTTCTGGTAAACGCAAGTCATTTTTGTCTTAAAAATGATTTTTACTTAAAATTGTTTTAAAAGACCTTTTTAGGTATTCGACCTACCTAATCCAAAGGTCGATGGCGACTCTATTCAATTTAATTCAAATTAATCCAAAATCGTCTAATTTTCTAAATTAAAGTCATAATCATTTTTTAAAATAATATTTTAATTATTTTACCTAAAAAATGGTTATGACGCCATTGATTCTCGGTTCATCGAAAAAAAAAAAAAATAAAGTTACTTTGTTGCAATATTTTCTAGGCCTCTGTTCTCTTCCAGGAACACAGTTGCAGCGCTCACCCGTTTAGATCGGATCAAATCTCCCATTCCATTTTTAATCCCTTTTTTCACCTTTGAATTTTCGGGATTTTCCATTGTCGTCCCCACAAAAGAAATACCAACTTTATGTTCGTTGCATGTCTTAACCAGTCCCCATATTATCTGGAAAAAAAGTACTGTTTTTTTTTTCGGTTGGTCTGGTCGTAAATGGGGAATGTAACGTCGAACGTGGCTGCAAGATTTGCATTCTTCCCACCAGACCCACCGACGTACGATGTTATCAAGGAAGAAGATGGCCGCCTGGTTCTGCAAGGCGTAACCGCCGACAAGAACATGGATGTTCATGTGCTTGATACCAAAGGTGGTAATAAAATCGTCGCCACCTTTTGGAAACAACCCGTCGCTCGTTTAACCATATTGTACTCCCACGGCAATGCCGCCGATTTAGGCCAAATGCACGAACTCTTCATCGAGCTCCGAGCACATCTTCGAGTCAACATCATGAGGTATTCGATCTATTCAACAACTAATTTGAATCCGATAAAAGTATATTATCATATATTTAATATTTTGGTTTTGCAGTTATGATTATTCAGGATATGAAGCATCTACAGGGAAGGTAAATGATTCGTTTGACGATTGCTATATTTCATGATTTTAACGTGAAAAAATTGCTAATACTTAAGCGATATAGCCGACCGAATTCAACACGTATTACGACATAGAGGCAGTGTACAATTGTTTAAAGAAAGAATATGGAGTTAAGCAGGAAGATTTGATTGTGTATGGCCAATCTGTCGGGAGTGGTCCGACTCTACATTTGGCTTCTCGGTTAAAGAAACTCAGCGGCGTCGTTCTTCACAGCGCGATCCTTTCCGGCCTTCGTGTCCTGTATCCGGTCAAGATGACGTTCTGGTTCGATATCTTCAAGGTAAAGTTTTGGTATCGAACATCATCACCGTAAAGTTCTAAATTCGTCCCCTTTCGTTTTCGTGTTTATTTGAATGATGTTTCGAATCTTAATTGCAGAACATCGACAAAATCTGGCATGTCAATTGTCCGGTTCTAGTCATTCATGTACTTGATGTTCATATCTATGTGACTATGTCCCGTCTCAACCATATCATTTTATGCATCTTTTGTTGATAAAACGCTTTGCAGGGAACGGATGATGATATTTTTGATTGGTCTCATGGGAAGAGATTGTGGGAACTTGCTAAGGAGAAATTCGATCCTTTATGGGTGGAGGGCGGCGGCCATTGCAACCTCGAAACGTTTCCCGAGTACATTAGACATGTACGCAAATTTGTACAGGCTATGGAGAAGATTTCAATCACGAAACCGGCTAAACAGATTACGCCTGCCCCGAACATTGCGGAATCTGAAGGCTGTAAATGCTTGAGATTGAAGGCGAAGCGCGCTGCCTCGAAGAAGGAATTGTGAATCGGAACATATATCGATTCGTTTTCAAGTAAATTGATATTACTTTGCTTGCCTCACCACGTGTAAGCCAGCAGCCGGTGTATATTTGATTCGGGTTCGGGTTTGATCGATCGACATCCATAGGGTTTCTTGGGGTTCAATCATAAAATATGTATGCTTCTTGATCTAGAATTTCATGTATAATGTTACAAAGTTGGATCTATGTAAAAACTCAAAACATCTAGGGACAAAACATCACACTGATTATGTTTGATGGCATTAATCCTGCTTTGATGTAAAAGAAACAAAACTCGGAGAAGGAAATGTACGTGTATTAAGGTTACCAACATCCATTGAAAAGGACCCAAAGTTGCATAAATTGTTAAATTCAGCCCAATATTTCAAAGAACCTAGCCCATTATAATGGCTAAAGAATTCAAAACTTTGTTTTGAGTTCGGGATGGTAATATGGTCGTGTTAGATTTTTTATCGCTCTTAAAGTCTACAATTTAAGTTTTTTTTTTACTCAATCTGCATATCAATATAATTTAATTCAAATCGATCTTGATCTACTATGATAGGAGTAGGGTTGTAGCTCGACTCGACTCGAAAACTTGCGAGCTTAAAATTTTTAAGTTCGACCAGAACTCGAGATCATAAACTGAAGCTCGTAAAAAGAAATTAAAAAAAATCTTAAATTTAACTCGATTAAAGCATTAAACTCGAACTCGAACCTGAAATTCAAATACATGAAAATCTTATACTACATTTTTTAAAAAATCAACATATAAATGTTAATATTATTAATAATTTATTTTTTTTTAAAAAATAAAATCTTAATATATTATATTTTCAAGCTGCTCACAAGCTTTTCGAGTCGAGTATCAAATAGTTCGTTTCGGCTAGTTAAGAACTCGAGTTGAGCTCGAGCTCGAGCACGAGTCGAGTATTTATCAAACTTTGATTAAATCGATCTCGAATAACTCATAATCTATCTTGTCTCATTTACCGCCCTAAATAAGAACATAATGCAAAAATTGAATAATATACGGTGTAGCTGTAGATTCCCTTTTGATTAAAGTAAAAGTGTCCTTTTGTAATATGAGGGTTTATCTAAGAACAAATACATGCCAGCTAACTACTCAGATTTTGTCTATGTACATAAAGATAAATTTGCGTTAACTAATATTTAAACAATTTTTGAACCCATCTAGTCATTCAATGATTAAAAGAAACATAGTATTTTTTAGAGGTTATAAGTTGAAATAGTTTTATATGTAAAATGCAATGTTTTTAAAACTGGACCGACCTTAAACCGATGAAGATATTGGTTCACTTGTTCAACCGGGTTGAACTGATTTATATAAAATAATATTGTTTTTAAAATTTTACATAATATTCAAAGCAATATTAATATATATATATATATATATAACACTCTTTTTAAGTTTACAATATTAAAATGTATAAAATATCACAAGTCATAATATATATAAGTTTACAATATTCAAAACAATATTATTAATTGAATAATATAAATTTTAAATTATTTATGTATATCTTTTTAAGGGTTAAATTGATAATAATTAGAGATTTAAATGATTAAATAGTTATTTTATCATTTCATATAGTTTCCACAGCTTTTGTTTCACTTATTATCCGTTTTTTATTAATTTTTATCCAAGCTTTTGAATTTCACTCCAATAAAACGTGAATCCTCACCTTATACGACTGATTTTATGATTAAATTTCTAGGCCATTTACGATTTCAGTAAACGAGGAATTGCCTGTAAATTCGAAGGGTGTTCTTCTTAGTTTTCAGAAGCAGCTTTACAAACAAGTTGGTGAAAGCCTGAGTCCATCGACAATATCCCACATCGTCGAGATACTAGAAGATGACAGGACAAGCTACATATAAAACAAGCAGGTTTGTGCAGTTCGAAGCATATCTTTCTCGGCCTTTTGGCTAAGATTCGAGCTTGAATCGAGCTTAAAATCGAGCTTCAATCGAGCTCGAGTCTCGAGTTTCAATTGAGCTCTTGAAATTTTTTTCAATTTGATTTTTTTTGAGTTCAAGTCGAGTTTAAATATTATATTTCGAGTTTGAGTTGAGCTTGATAATTTTTAGCTCGCGAGTTTTCGAGTGGAGTCGAGTCTTTTTTTAAAGTTTTGGAGTTCGAATTGAACTCAGTAATATTCGAGTTTGACTTGGCTCGTTTATACCCTTATTTGGGGCTGAAAAAAATCATAACAAATGATGTCGTTTGGTTTAATTTAAAAAAAACAGAAACGGCGGTTTACACCAGTTTTGTCGGTTCTCAACCGGTTTTCAATCGGTTCTATCGATTTTCAGTCGGTTCTACCGATTTTCAGCCGATTCATTGTAAAATTGGTTTTGGAGGCTTACCGGACTGTACAGACAATCGATTTCCGATTTTGATAACATTGGTAAAATGTATATACGTATTTAATGATTAAGAAATAATATGAAAAGATATTACGTTATAATCAACCTTTATTAAAAAATTCTTTCAATAATTTTTAGTGATGTTTCAATAGATTTTAAATTATTATTTTAAATGCAATTAGTCACAATTATTTTTTTTTTTTTTTGGATTTTAAAGGGTGTAAGAAACGAACTACAAAGGCTATAGTTAGGTTAAGTTGTTTTCCCCAACATGCTAAAAAAATAATTCACTTTAAGCGTCACATCTTCTTTCTTTTTTCCCGTTTATGTAATTCATCTAAAAACCAAGAACATATTTAAGAAGCAAATTGTGAAATAAAAATTAAAAAAAAATCAAATCAGGGCTTAGTTTTTTTCAGAGAGTACTCATATAAAGATTTAAGCTTTCAAAAATAATCCAATAAATTTAAAATGTTTCATTAATGTAAAACAAAAGCATAATATTTTAAAAAATTTCTCAAACAAGAGCTTCATATATTCAATTTTAAGGTAGTGGATAATCTGTTGGAAAAAAGGTGAATTTAATTGATAGATTTAATATTTATATTAAATATATTTTTCTTTTGACTATTGTAAATTAAATATATTATTTAATTTGAATATTAGTAGGATAATTGCTCTTTGAATATGTCAATTTCAAAAGATATTTGTTATCTTTTTAACTTTGAATATTAAAGATAATTATATATTTTTTATATTTCAAATTAAAATAATATCTATTTAAATTTGAATGGAAAAATAAGTTTTATCTTTTGAATAAAAGATATTATTATATGTTTAAAGTTAAATATTAAAAGATATATGATTGGATTAAATATCTCTTGAAAATCCCCTATAAATAGTGAGCAAATCTATTAGGTTTTTCACATCTCATAATTTAAGAACTTTTCTTCTCTTGAAAATTATTTTATCTCCTTAGAAAATATTCTTTTCCTCCTTAGTTTCCTGATATATTCAAAGTCAAGGATTGTTTGTGATCTCTGTAGATGTGCTATTATAGGTGATCATAAGTTGTTGTATCATGGGAGACAAACGACTAACGAACTCGAGCACCAAAGGAGTGGCCGAAAATCTATCTTAAGGCAACCGTGTAGCGACAGGCATCAATCGTTTCCGATCGATAGATAAAAATAAAAGGAGTATTTTTATTTCCATTTATTTTATCTTATCTTCTAAGAAGTTTAACCTTTTGGATTATTTTTCTCAGGATTGATTTCATCTTAAATTGTTATTTCGGATAACAATCTTAAAATAGAGTAAACTCGTTCATTCTCTTTAGTTTTTATAATGATTTTATTATCATTATTATTTTTTATATCATTCTCGGATTAACGATCTTTTTCTAACAATCTTAAGACATATATTTGATTTTCATATTTTTCGAGATGGTATAGAATTCGTGAGTTTAATCCTTTTTGTATACAAAGGAAGTACAAAAAAATCAACAAAACAAATATTGGGCAAAAATCAAGAGAAATTTACGCCAAATATAAGTTTCCTTCAATTTTTGAATTTTTGAATTTCAAATTATTTGATGAATATTTTTAAATTTAATTTTAATGTGAGATATGACTCCATTAATTTCTGTGTATGGATTCAAATAATTGGATTCCAAAATCTTTGCAAGATCTTTGCGGTTGCACACTTTTGTGGGTCATACTTTGAATATTGAAGGTTTAAGTTTTGATTGACAACGATGAAGTCAATCAGGTAGGTGAAATCTGAATATTTCCCTTTAATCAAAAACGATTCCGAACTCTTTCTTCTACCTTTCTTTAATCTGAAATGGTTCAAATATAATGATAAAATGAGATAGCGAACAAATTTGTTTAAGAATTTATCATGCCGTCTTAACGGGTTTGTTAAATCTCAAAGTGGACAAATTTGTATAATAGAAATTGTCGTAAAAGTAACTGAGGTTACTGATTTTGTTTCAGAATTTTGATTATGTTTGATAAGAAAATCGAAAATAAACGAGAATTAATTTTGTTTATTGGAATCTTTGATTTTGTATTTAAAATCAATTGAGATTTTAATTTTGTAGCGTAATAGAATTATTTGATTTCTATTAATAGAAATCGTGGGAAAATTACAACTCTGTTACTGATTTGTTTCAGAAATTTTGTTCATGACTAATTCTGTTGATAGAATAAACCAAAATTTAATTTTAGTTTATTTTTGGTGTTATTATTAATTATAATTTAGTGTGTTAAGCGAAATCATGATTGTTGGTGGGCATGGGCCTCAATGAGAAACTTGTAAAATTCTAAAGATAGAATTTCAAAATATGATAACACTAAATCTTATTTTATTCATTCATTGTGAATTTGACCAAATGTGAGATGATCCTCCAATCATGAGAGAGGATGAGGTAAACATTGTTATCAGATTCACTAAAGCTTGGAAGTATTATGATTTCTTATATTGAAAATACATCTTGAAGGTATTATCAGATACACTATAAAGTGTATAGTATTCATAAGGTGGATAAAAGAATTGCAGATAACATTGGAACATAGATACGAAGCAAAAGATGTTGGTACTAATAAATTGTTAGTGACCAAGTTCTTAAAATTCATAATAATGGCACGAACGAGGGAGAATAAATATTTTATTACCTTCATTGATGATAACAAAAGTATTGTTGTGTATTTGCTAAAGAGCAAAAGCAATGTTATAGAAAATTTTGTTTTCTATAAACATAAAGTTGAAAACCAACTTAATAAATAGATTAAGATGGTAATAAGTGATAGTGGTGATGAATATGTAACACCTTAAACCCATTGTGTTAACACTAGGCTTAAAGTGTCACATCCATATCAAAAGTGACCCAAAAATCCATAAAATAATAATAAAAATTCATTAACTTAAAACTTCTAAAAACATGTTTCTGATAAAATACAAAACATTTGACATCTAAGATAGTTTGTATACAAAATGGGGAGCTCCGACTCTTTCATGATCCAACCAATACATAAAACAATTCGAAATATATAACCAGACATCAAATTGAATACATATATACAATTCCAGGTACACATGGTATGCACATGCCCCCTAATAGAATTCAGAATTGTAATATGGTAGTCAAGAATGTTGGAATTCCTCAACGACGGTGCTCCCTGGGACTTCTATCAACTACCGAAATCCTAAAAATGGTAAACAACCAAAGAATGATCTACAAGAGCCTAGTAATGTATGGGTATTCAAAGAAACTTATATAACGATAAATTTAGAATGTAAGCGAAAAATGGCATATAAACGTCCTTAAAAATTTCTAATCTTATTTAGAGTATCATGTTCTTGAACTTTTGTTAACCTTATCAAACTTACTTGACATCCCTCATTTATCTCATTTCTCGATGATATCACAAGTCTCTTACCAATACATACCTTTATTTCAACTGATATACAAATATAATATTTTGATACTTATAAATTTAGGTGTGTACACCGTACGATACATCACATTGCTTATAATTGGGTGTGTATCTCGTACAATACATCATCACTTTAATATTTAGATGTGTACCCCATTTGATACATCAACTTCCTTATAGTTGGGTGTGTATCCTGTACAATACATCACCATCTTCATATTTAGATGTGTACCCCGTACAATACATCATCTTGCTATAGTTGGGTGTGTATCCTGTACAATATATCACCACTTTCATATTTAAAAATTCTAGAACCATTTTGAAACTACCTCCAAAGAAATCAAATTGATTAGATTTAAAGAATATAATTTTTTTTGGAGAATTTATGAACCTTGGGAACTATATTGCAAATGTTGAATTCATAAGGACCATTTAAAAACATTTACTATTTATTATCAATTAGCAAATTTAACCCACGTAATATCACATTTTTCCCCAACAATAAGCACACAGACTTACTTTCAAAGGTTTGATTTTTCAACCTAAAATATACAACACTAAACAAGTTCCAACCTAAAATATGGTTGCACTAAACAAGTTCCAAACTAAAATATGGTTCCAACCTAAAACAAGTTCCAACCTAAAATATGGTTGCACTAAACAAATTTCAACCTAAAATATGGTTGTAACCTAAAACAAGCAGGTTCCTATCTTAAAAAAAAAACAAAGCACTAATTACATACAACATGCTTCCAACTTACTAATCCAAATATTAGGGTTTACATGGGTGTTCAAAAAACATAAACACATTACCTTAGCTTTGGTCACTAAAAAGAAAAATTCCTTACTTCCTTTTTCAAGCTTTCTCATTCCTTTTAGTTTGAGAAGGTTCTCATTCTTCCCTCATTTCAAAATGTAATTCTACTATTATGTGGTTCTAAATAAGAGAAGATGGAAAATAAAAGAGAAAAGGAAGAATGAAGATGACGAAGATGGTGATGGTGATAGTGATAGTTTTCTCTCTCTTCTACATATTCTTTTAAAAAGCCCTTATTACCCCATATTTCTAGA